AGCAGCTGTACTCTTCTTTGCTCAAGCTTCGTAAAGAAGAGGTAAGCATTATCTGAGATGTGGAGTAGACCTCTTTGGCGATACTGCCTTGCCTCTGTAACTTGAAGTGCCTTTTGAAATACAGACGTTTCTTGGAGCTGATTGAATGATTGAATAATGTTTTCCTCTAGCAGTTCACAGACCCTTTGTTTTGTTTCAACTTTGGCTAGAGTAGAATTATTATTTGTGTATACATTTTTTCTAGTGTAGTTTCTAGCCCGAGTGAGGATTTTTCTAACCGTCCAACCACCTACATGTCGAACCTTCGATCTCCCCACCACATCCATCTCTTCAACGTTAAAATCGACCCCATCCATTCTATCTTGTCTCACCACCGACACTAAAGCTTCAAGAAATTCCCGGCAGATAAATTTTGCTACCTCAATAACCACAGACCACAGGGGATGTGTTACCTTGTTTACACCAAGGACAATACAAACATACTGTGAAAATTCAGTGCTGGTAAAAAATTCATGTAGTCTCGAAGTTGCCTCGGTAAATCCTTGCCTTGAAATGTTAATGACAATCTCCTCCAGATGTTCTACGATGTGGTTTTCGATTATTAGAAATGAATGAAACCATACCAGTTTTATGAAGGGTGGTACTTTGGTCCCACAGGTGTCAGTTAACAGGAAATCAATTGCTGCATTTTTTTCTGCCATAAAGGAAGAGACAACTGAACATGGAGAGGTCTTCATCGCCAACAAGTGTTCTCGGCATTTGTTAAAATATTCATCTGAGGGACTTGAGAGACTTGATTCATGCCTCGTGAATCGGTCATAAATATCCAACAACTCCAGTTGAACATCAACATCTTCATATTCAAAACAAGCTCGAACCGGGCCATCCAGCAACTCGCTAGGAAATGTGAAAGGCTCGTCATCTTCCTCTGCGCATTCATCACAGCGATCTGTGACTGATAACAGGTTATCGTGGCTGAAGCTCTTTTTGCGGCAACATGACCGATCTGCAACGGGGGCACGTGTATGGTGGGTGTAGCACATTTCGACTGCTTTTTGCTGTGGCTTCAACAATTGCCATGAATTAAAATTCAAAATCTGGATACATTCAGGGGACTTGACTCTTAACACTGCGACATAAATGAGGCCAGGTACATATTCTCGCGAACAATGTACCACTGCCGCATCAATTGTCAAACCTTGCAATTTATGGCACGTGATTGCATAGGCCAAAACAACTGGAAATTGGGTAACACTTCCGATTTTGTTCCCATTCTTATTCCTCTTTATCCAAGTTTCCCTGGAAATCTCTACAATCCCGACACCATCAAAAGCAACCAAAAGGACATTGCCTTTTTCCCCAGTAAATATACCAAGGGATCCGTTTTTTAAATCGTGAGACTTGTTCCACACAAGCATTACTTCACAGCCACGCGTTAGGTGCAGGACTGTTGCTCCAGGCCAGTACATGCTCTTAGAACAATCGTTTTCGAATGATGCCTCGAAGGCTAACAACTCACCAGGTAATGTATCGAGCTCTCGTCTATTCAACAACTGTACAGGCACTTTTCAAAAAAAGATATGCGTTGCAACTTCTTGTAAGGCCTCTGGTAAAACTCTATCCAAGGACGAGAGATATTGTTGAGATGAAATTGAGCACTGACCCTTTCTTATGTCTGCAATAGCGGAAAAAATAGTTTGTCTTCCGATTGCCGCATCAGCTTGGTAAAGGCGAAATAACGGAGAATAGAACATGAAGTCTCCCTCATCGAAAAGGCTTGGAACTGGTTGCAACTGCAAGAATTCGCCAACTAGAATTATTTGTTTGCCAGCAAAAGGCAGGCTCTTGCTTAATTCATCAGTTGCTAGCTCATGATGAAGAAAGTTCACAAGTTCAAACATTCTTCTACTCCACATACTGGCTTCATCCCAAATAATCACGTCAAGAGCTTTTACCCTCTCTCGAATTAATGAATTTCCGAGCGATCTGTCTACAAGTTGATGCCAGGGCAACCCCGCAGTTGAAAGACCATAAAAGGAGTGAACAGTCGATGCTGTGCCGTGATCAAAAACTTGGCAGGTGATCCCACTCAAACATATCACACGTACAATTTTTCCACTTGCCTTAAAAACAACGAAAGATCTGTTTTACAGCTTCACTTTTCCCTACTCCGCCTTGTCCAGTAATCAATAAATTGTGGTCTGCGGTGGCAAAATGTACAATTTCCTTCTGGTCACTATTGAGTTGTATCCTGGAGCAAAATAAATAACATCCTATTACCTAGAATCCCGATGTGATTCACAACGTGCGAAATAAATCAAAGCCAACAAGAGCACGAATGGAAAAATCGACAAGAAAGTTAATACTTGCATGGTTTAGCTTAATTTCACATCATCGATGGGACAGACGAAATGAAATGGTACACAATTAAACATGAATGTCTTGACACCGAAACAATATTGCATTATGAAGCAATGGTTTTCCTCTGAGTATCGAATTTGTAAACATTTCCGGCATGAATTTGATAGGGGGATTGGGACAATGCCCTCTTGTCAAATCGACCCGAGGGGACCCGGGGTTCGAATCAAAAATTGTCGATGACAAGGGACGGTGTGGTACCCAGGTGAGGCTTAGTTTGTAGAGGAGGCAGGGTTACCAAGTGGGTTTTCAACGGTTATGTGTCGTGGTGAAAATGTACTCGCCCCTACGGCGTCGTTTTGTCTTGGATTTTGGAAAACAAACTGCCGCTTGGCGTCGGTTGCAGTGGCCGGATTGCTTGGCTAATGAGATGAAATGAAACAAGGACATACTGGCTTGGATTCGGCATTTGATTTGTGGCTGCTTGGCCATTTCAAGGTGAGGATTTTTCACCTCTTGCATGGGGCATCCCGAACTGGACTGTGAAGCCTTGTCCTTCTCTTACAGTGGAAACTCAGGGTGAAAGGAAATTGCTTAAATGCGTTACCTAGCCTTTTTATTGGTGTGTCGTTTGTTTTTGTTCGTTTCATTTATGCCATTCGACATAAAATAACTTGTAAGATCGCTCATAAATAGCTAAACTTAGAAAATGGACTTAAGGGTTACAAATCACCTTTATATTCACGGCCATTTTAAATAACGCAATATGAAACTACATGTGTTCATGACTAACCTCACACACTTAGCTTGGGCCGCCTGTGGCTTAAACTGATACTCCAGGAGAACTCCGTTTAGTTTAATGGGAGGAACTACCTCCAGCCTTACGGAACTGTGATGGGGAGCAAGGCCACAGTGGCCTTTGCGAACATTTTCATGCCCAGAATTGAAACAGAAATAATCAGCAAAAGCAAAACTCAAGCCCTCGAGTGGAAAAGATAAATTGGCTGTGCTTTCTCCCTGTGGAAAACAGGAAGAGAGATGATACATCAGTTTGTTTTAGAAGCAAACACACATCCAAGATTGCGCTCAAGGGTCTAAAAGACGTTTCACCTACCCTGCCTTCAAAGATTTATCTATTATATTGAATCAGGCATGCTGAGTCCACCGTCTTTTATCCTTCCAATCATTGTTGAGCTCTTGATTATGGGTGGTTTGTGGTTCCATATAAAGTTGGATACAGATTTGTTCCCTTGATCAGCATAACCAGTGGGAACACTGGGAACAGAGGAAATGAAAATTATTTTTAAAAGAGCTAAACTTTAGAGTGTTAAATTCTTAGAGGACCTGACGTTAAGACACTTTTCCAGGGCGACAGACTTTTTTTCAAAGTTATCTTTTGTTGAAGCTTCTGAATCACATGAGAAAGAACCACCTAGACAAACACGCTTCATGGGCTAGTTTATGTTGAAAAGATTTGTTGAATGTGGTCTAGTTTTTCCCAACCACAATGCCTCCATTTTTTATCTATTCAGCTCTAATCTGCAACACCTTCTAAAAGCCTCTAACTTCTCAAAAGCTTTTCAACCGACTTTTCGCCGCGCACCAAGCATGAGGTGTCATCCGCTTATTGAGATAACTCATGCTCCCTGCCTTGGAAATATATACCCATTATATTATATTATCATTTCTTATTGAATTCGCTAAAATTTCGACAGCAATTACATAGAGTACACCAGAAGAAGGGCGCTCTAATTCGAAAAATGACGTTGCATAGCCATTATTTTTAATGCAGCTTTGAATATTGCTGTAAAAAGTATTGATCCACTGTATTAAAGGAGCGCTAAAATTAAACGTCTCTAGAGCCTTTTAAATAAAGTTCCACTCTAAACTGTCAAAGGCTTTTTTGAAATCTAAAAACAATGCTATAGGTGGATTATCTAGCGTTTTTGTGCACTCTATAATGTCTCCTATTAAACGTATGTTTTGACCAATAAAGTGGCCTGGGTAGCACTCTCGCAATTCTAGCTGCGATTGACTTAGTGGCAACTTTATAGTCTGTCTTCAGAAGCGAGATCGGCCTCCAATTATCCAAAAGAGTCCTGTTTTTGTCTTTCTTTGGAATTAGAGTGATGATACCTCTCTTTTGAGAAACTGACATTTTGCCCTTCTCAAATGCACATTTAAAGCTGTCAACTAATTCTTGCCCTAATAACTCCCAAAAGGAAAGATTAAATTCCGCAGTTAAGCCATCTGTACCGGGAGACTTGCCTTTGGAAAAACTTTTGAATGAGACATAACATTCTTCTTTTGTTAAATGACTGTCGCAGCTGTCAGCTTGAGGTGGAGACAGTTTTGGAAGAGTTGAACTGTGAAAAAACACATCAAAACGAGGATCATTTGGGTTTATACAAGAAGAAGTGTAGAGCCTTTTATAGTATCTGTGCTCTTCATTTAAGATTTAAGGAGAAGTCAAAGTGTGATTTTCAACTCTTAGTTTTGTGATGTACTTATTGGAGTGATTTTGTTTCTCGAGATTGAAAAAATAGCAAGTGCTACATTCCCCCTGTTTGCACCACCTTAGGCCTTACTCCGCATCATTGCGCCCTCTGTTTTGTGCAGTGAAATTTGCTCTAGTTTACTTTTTACCTCATAATGATTTGCAATAGTCTGTTGCGTAGCTTGTGAAGTGAGGACAGCTTTTGCTGCAGGACTGCTTCTTCAGCTTTTTTCATCTTTGCATTTTGTCTGCAAAAGTAAATTATAAAGCTGCTTATTTCCATTTTCAGCAGGTCCCAGTAAAGTCTTCTATCCTCTAAATTGTTGTATTTTTGTTTGTACTCGCCAATTTTTTTCACTCAAACCCTTGACAAAACACTGATCATCAAGGAGTGAGTTATTGAATTTGAAAAATCCTGGTCCTCTTTTTATGAAGTCATCAGACTGGATGTTAAACGAGACGGCCAAGTGCTCGGAGAAAGAAACAGGAATGATGTTGCACTCTTTCACATGTGGAAGTAAATGTTTTGACACCAGCCAATAATCAACCCTACACTGAATAGCTGATGATTGGTGATGCCAGGTGAAAAGTGACTCGTTAGGATGAAATTTTCTCTACAGATCAACTAAATTGATAGCTAATTCGTTAGACTAAGAATGCAATCTATTAATTGTTTCTTTTGTTCAGTGGGTCGCCCTCCCTTTTTATCCTTGCGTGTTAGGCATCAATTTAGATTGCCACCAATAATAATCTTTTCATCAGTGAATTTTCGTATACGCAGTTTTAAAGATTAAAAAAATTTCACTTGGGTTTTGATAAAAGTGAATCTGTAGTCATTGATTTTAGCATACAGAGCAATTTCCCTGCCCCTCTTGCCGACCTCAACATGTTCCACATCATGGGTGAAACAGGACAAGAGTACCGCAACTATGTTTTGTGCTATGACAAAACACTACTTTACCACCCCATTCGGCTGACCATTTTTTTCTGTATCTTGCAAACTATAAACCTCCTGGATGAAGATGATTTGGAACCTTGGCCTATGCAGCCATCTTAAAACTTGCCTCCTTTTACGCTCATTATTTAAGCCTCTGACGTTTAAGGCTATGCAAGATAAATTGATCGCCATGGACAAAGAAAAGTCACAGGAAATAATCACGGATACATAACTCCTTCCAAATTTGTGCTAAGCCAACGGTCTTTCATGATAGATGGATTGCAGGATACAAATCATAGATGCAGTTGCACGGTGGAATGCCAATGTTGAGAGCATTATGGAGAAGTTATGGAGACTCCTCATGGTCAGTGAACCCTTACAATGGGATACAATAGGAGTTACCTGCGGAGGTGGCTAGGTTTTACTCTACTTGCATACGAGCGATGTAACGAGAAAAAAAAATCTAATTAAAAGGAAAACTAAATCCAAAATAAAAACAAAAACATTTTCAACAAGTCCCTTCTTTTCCAAAAAGGGATATCAACTAATTTAACAAAATTAAACAACTTACTCTCTTGGAAGAATTGAATCAAGTAAACACCCATTAAGACATGGTGTTACCTAAGGTATGAGATCTGAGGCGATTTCATCCATGCTTTCCCTTAAAAAGCTACTTCCCATGTATAAGAATGAGACAATGGCACTGGAAAAGTGCCCTTGGTTGATCATTTTCTTAACGTGTACTTTGACAGACACTGTTTACGGTGGTGCCTCTTACAGAAGGACCCAAGACAAGCCTCTGAAGTTCCCTGAAAAAGATAAGAAAAATCGAGTTTGGTTAAACAAGTGAGAAACTGTAAAACGCAAACTGTCAAACTTACTCCAGAATACGTGAATCTCTTCTAAACTAGCGCACAGTTGTAAAGTTTAGAATCCCTTGATAATTAATCCAGCCTCTTTAACTTTGGAGACATTAGCTATGGAATAAATCTGGGATAGTAAAAAGATCAAAAGGGAATAGGTAGTATGCCCTCTTAATATTGTCTCCCGGCTGGCGCCATTAAAGAAGTTTATGAATAGCTCCTTTACTGAGGAAATGTTTTAGGTGGGTCATCCAGAAAGACCCCTAGTGTTCATTGACTAGCCCATTGTAAAATTTTTTTTTGTGGCAGGTTTGATGAAGCCAATATCCTGAATGCCTGTAAAGAAAATTTGACCTGTTCTTAAACTTTGCAAACATTGGAATTGGCACTTAAGGTACTTTTAACAATTATTTCTTACATTTTTGAGATTTTTGAGTCTAATCGTTTCCTTGGTTTTAAGNTCCCGGCTGGCGCCATTAAAGAAGTTTATGAATAGCTCCTTTACTGAGGAAATGTTTTAGGTGGGTCATCCAGAAAGACCCCTAGTGTTCATTGACTAGCCCATTGTAAAATTTTTTTTTGTGGCAGGTTTGATGAAGCCAATATCCTGAATGCCTGTAAAGAAAATTTGACCTGTTCTTAAACTTTGCAAACATTGGAATTGGCACTTAAGGTACTTTTAACAATTATTTCTTACATTTTTGAGATTTTTGAGTCTAATCGTTTCCTTGGTTTTAAGCATGTACCTCCCACTCTTGACAAACAAGGGATAAATGGTCCTACTTTCCAGCTTTCTCTGCACCTCATTCTGATCATATGACTCTCGTACTAAGAAACTTCATTTGGATGTGATAGGAAATTTCAGACCCAGGGGATTAAAACAGAACTTTTGAGGTAGTGAGAGACTTGTTCAAGTAACTGACCTGCACACACCATTGCTAGCTGTAGGGCAGTTGTCTTTCCCCTTCCCGCTGGACCAACCAGAACCACAGTAGGTGATCCATCCATCTTTCTGACTGCATCAGCCTGAATTGTCATAACAAACATGCCATAGTGAACATTGTTATGGCGAAGTTGTGTTTTACAGCCAGTTCCATAGTCTGGAAAAATCCACATTCCAACGTTATTCTCTTTGTTATAATGAAATAAGAAGTCAGGCGAAGGCTAGAGATTACTGCACCTTTTTAAGTGGTGATTCTTGGTATGTAGGGACTAATATTTATAGCCCTCTACGTACAAAATTTGCCAGAACCGAAATGTTTTTAAAATAGCCTAAACAGGTTATCAATGAAATGGTAATAAGCAGAATTTGGACTATTTGGGTAATTAATTGGTTCTTATTTTCCAAAAATTGTCTCCTTATCCTCATTTAACTTCGCGAGTATTAAATTTCAAGGAAAATCATGAGCCATATTTTTGGTAGAATTGAAGTGTATTAAATTTCGTAATTTTTGTAGTCTTTAATATGTGAATTAAGGTAACTTTGACCTCAGAACAGTAACAACAGAATTAATAATTTTATCCTTAAGGAGCTAGATGCATAAGATTTTCAACAGTTTAAGTAGGTACCCGAAAATAGTTACACAGTAAATATTTACTCTTGGTAAACTTCGTTGTTATTATGTTTTGTCAGGCATTATATGGAGGTTCTTATTCTCCCCCCCTTCACCCAGAGTCCGTTGGTGTATCCTCTTGTTTTCTTTAACACAATTTCAAAATCATTGGCACTAAAACCGGTTATTCATTATTGACCATTATTGGCTATTAGAGCCGATCAGAGATAACCTCCTCTTTGGGGTTTAGTGTCCTGTATGTGATATCCAATCAGTGAATCGTTATTCAATAACCGAATATTAGGGGTTTGCGGTCAACATATTTTAAATAATTCCCGATTAGCTATACAACAGTTTTTGAGAACAGAAAGGACATGAAGTTATTACCGTTGTTTATTTTAATTTTGAACATCGATAGACACTTCGAATTCAACTGTGTATAGGGTATATACGGTTGTAGTGACGAAACCAAACTATTAGCTTTTTGATGTTCTGTTCGTCTTTGTTTAGCTACTCACTGCCTGCCAAAACGAGCTGCCAAAAATCATTTTTGTTCTATCAATTAAACATTTACACTAAAATTTCAATCATGACAATCAGGGTTGATTCATTTTTAAAATGCTCCTGGAAAGCCATCTCAACAATTGCCGTTCTATCATCAGAGAAAACTCTTCTTCAGGTATCTTTTACGGCTCACGGTTCACCGTATCCGTTTATCGATCTATTATACCTAATCAGAGGCTTGTTATTCAATAAAGGAATAATGGCAGTTTGTGGGCGTCATACTCTTAATAATTTTCGTAAAACGATTTTAAAAAAGGCATACATTTGAGAACAGAGAAGATGTTTATTGCCATTGGTTTTTTGTTAAATGCGAAGTACGTAAATATGTGGAAAAGTAAAATCGGGAAAAACGGAATCAAGTGTTGTACTTCCGAGCCACCATTGATACTGATTTTAAAAAAAGTCATCTTTCTTAAGTATTTACTTGTTCATGTCTTGCATGCAATACCAGCTTGCCATGGGTGGGTTCTGGTGAAGGATGAACGCTGGTGGTCTAACTGACATATAGTACGCAAATTTTTTTTCTATGATTTGTGAATAATTTAATTGTTCATCTTTTAAAGAAGAGAAAAAGTGAATCAGATTAAGATTAGAAACGAGTGTTTTGGTTTGTGAACTCTGTTCTGCTTCTCCTTGTTTAGAATACACGTGACGCAACAAAATGCTACATCAGATATCGTTGACACCGACTCCGTACATGCAGTCATAACTATTGCCACAAAAAAATCGGAGATGTACCAGTCTTAAAATGTCCTGGAAACACGGTCTTAAAAAATCAGAGAAGACCTTTTCTCAGCTTTTGAGATCAAAAGCCTAGTCTTGGGTTACAATGTCAAAGCATCCTGCATGGAGCATGAGGCACATGAACTTGACATACCCGTAGATTAACATTCATGGGGCCGTGGAGTGCGAAATTATCACAAGAGGTTAGTTTTGATCCTCTAGTCCCATCCCGCGCCTAAATGACAACAAATGTCGATTTCAGGGGAACATATCACCCATTTCAAAGGTCAGTCCATCTTAATCTATATTTTTGTTTTTTGGCTCTGACATGACTTGCAATCCTTTTAGTTTTTAACCTGATTCACAATAAAATCTAAGAGATGTTAATTTTGTTTGACATCTTCGGCACAAGTCCACTTTTAAGTTAATTATATCTAACTAGGAACTTTTTATTTGTTATTCGCATAAAGTGGGCCACGATTGACATACCTATTTTTGGTGAAACCTTTTCTCCGGATTGAAAAAAATCAGACCACTACAATCTGGCTTTGAAAATAATAATCAGGGTTTATTCTTCTAAAATCACCCATACCTAACAAAATCTTAGAACTTCTTGAATGGAACAAAGAGAGCAAGTAGCAAGCTTAATGAGAAAAAAATAACAAGCCTGAAAAAATTAACCTGAACATTAGTATTCTTCACTGACTCATGATACTCTGGAACATAGGATTTCAGAGAGATAAGCAAAACAAAATAATGCCACTTTACCTTTGGTAACACGAGTTTAGTCTTATAATGAACAGAAAGGTGAGACGTATTAAGAGGTCGAGTGAAGTGGCAAGAGAATTAGGTTTAACAAAAAATCGAATACATCGCACTGCACCGTCCCCAAATCCAAATGAGAGTAAAAATCACCATTTTTTCTTACTTTTTTTCAACATTTCCGAAACGATTGCGAAGCATGGCATTTTGTCATACATTAACAAATATATTTTCCAGCCTAAAATTATATTAATTACTACCTCCCGCCAAAAATGCTTGAGTGGGGCAAAAGCAAATTACACAGAGAATTCAGTATTGGTTTAGCTGCTGTTGAGTAATAAAACCCTAAAGTAATCTTTCATTTATATTTAGTAGCTAACAAACAGAAAAACAGGTCAGGTTCTGTTGCCACCGACACTGACTCAAGCCATACAAATAACAACACTGATTATAATGATCTTGATGATCACCGATTTTAGCTGGATTGCTTCGTTGTCTACTGCCCTCATGTACTTTTTGGCTTACAAGATTTGTTTTGTAGTTGTTGTTTTGTGAGGTCTCTTTTGTCCTCGAAGTTAAGGTTTCATTTAGGTTTAATAAAGTATAACACGTGTCCTACCTTATCGGTGCTCTTGACCATTTCATACACAAGGAGATACAATCCTTCCATATGATCTTTTCTTGTATTGTGTACCAATTAAATTACACTACCCTCGGCTGAATGCATGCCTATTACCCTGCGAGCAGAGTCTCCTTCGATCTTCCTAGATGAGATCGAAGGAGACTCTGCTCACAGGTTTCATGCCTATTTAACTCACTGAATAGTTCACCCATGGCTTAAAGGCAGCCAGTTACTGAACTCTTTTGGTTACTGAGCAGTCAGCGAAAATGGTGTGCATTTTAGTAAAAGCCATCATTTCCTGGGTAACATGTGCTTATTTAATTGTCAGGCAAGGCATCACTTTGCTAGCCTGCGTAGCAGACACTACGCAGGCTATCACTTTACTTGTGCGGTGAACATTTTGTATTAAGTCTGTTATCAAGTCGAATACAACAACTGCTTATTATTCCACTCTTACTATTGTCATGCTGTAATAAACTACTAAACTTTATTTACAGAGGTCTAAAAAGTCTTAGTTAACAATCGATTAGTCATATATATGAAATATTCAAATACACTGAAATAATCATGTCAATCGGCTGATACAGAAGACATTGGCTGTGGAAGTGGTATTTTCAGCTTTTGGCAGGGTGTCGTTATCACCTACCACAATGTGCGCTACGCCAGACGTAGTTCCCGACCTGCTAACAATAGTAGCTACTCATCATGATACTGATTGGAGACAAGCTACCTTCGAGTCCCATTGACTGCTAGTAATTGACAGGACCATACGAACGCCTGTGTGTGGCAATGATTCCTGTTAAGCAGGTTGAATATGGACATGTTTACAGCCCATTGCCATCTTCGTGGTCAAAGAAATCTATCTGTAATTACAACGTGTCAGCAAAAGGTATTAGAGCATGGACAGAGCACAAGGTTGGACTGTAATTTCATGTAATTCATGAGGTCATGGTCTTTGCGCTCTTATTTGCAAAATCATAAGTAGTACTTTGATAAAAGATACTCCTTTTATACTGGTTTAAAAGGCATAATTATATTATCTTGGTTTGATTTTGATGCAACAAAAATTCGTTATCAAGGTTTAACTTTTTTGGTTTTTTTACTTCCTTGTCGGAGCTTGTCCTTGTTATTAGTAACATCTTTACGCTTTTCTCCCATGATAACCTGTCAATTTAAAGAAAAAGAAGAATGTTAACAACTATCACGTGTTTCCGTGGCTGAAAAACTGATATTATGGATATCTTTGCTTCCTAGCTGAAACTAAAAATAACTGACAAAATACCGATCCCTCACCAAAGCGAGAACTAAGGAAAAGCCGGCAGTTAGACTTACGGGTGGGAACTGATTTGATTTGCTGAGGAAATTTTCAAGATTATGTTTGTGTTGCTGCTGGTCCTGGTCTTGCTTCTTGAGCTTGCTGACTGGTTTGTGCCTTTTTAACTTGTCCAAATGCCACCTGTTCCTTTTGCCTCACAAAGATAATGCTCTGTCACTGCACTCCACTTATTTCGATATCGCCTTTCGTTTTCAATAAACTGCGCCCACCACTTCCTTTGGTCTGAATTCAGTCTACAACACTTTTTGACACAATCTTCTATAACGTTGATTTCCAAAAGGTTTTTGGTATCTGTCCGAACAAGTGGGGGGCTCCATCTGTCTGACTGGAAAGCATACAGAGACCTGATCCTTCGGGAAGCCATTTGCCATCATTAGCCCACTGTTTGTACTTCAAAACCACCTTTCCATTTATTTTAACAACCTTGTAGGCGTGAGGTTAAATATGATTTTTATATGCTTTAAACAGGGCTCAATCCATTTTTTATGTCCAAAAGAAAATCCAGTACTTGGGTTTCGGCCTCTGGTGTGTGTGTTTGTCTGATGTTTTCCAACAACTCTTGCAGTGTCATACTGTTGATTCTTCTTAGCCTCTTTGAAATTCTGCTGAAAAACTGTGAAACCAAAAAATCTTTTCATTTGACACTTTCAAGCTATTAATTGCTGCGGAGCGACCGTAGGGAGCCAGCAGCAACATAATCAGGATTTAAGGGAAACATATAAGGGGCGACGAATTCTCGAATTCATCACTTTTTATCACATTGCATTGAACCAGAGTGCATTGCGCCACGAACAAGTCAAATAAAGACACGGGGAAGTTTGCATCGTTCACTGCCCAGACTCAGAGTTTTCTTTGTAGCAAATTTTCTACAGCACGGTTAGAGGCCTTACCAAATTTAAGACATCTAGGAGGTTTTTTAGATGAGTACGATGGTTAACTTTGGGATTGGATTTCAATTCAAGAGCCTTTGACTCGTCCAGGTGTTAAACCTGATGAGAAGATTAGTATTTGCTCTTCGACTCCGCAACACGGGGGATATACAAATTCCAGCTTGCTAGAAGGTAATGTGAAAGTGAGAAAATGTCATGCCGTGCTATTCTTAAGAACCTGTATGAGCCGAAAATGGATGTGATTTTGACCATTCTCTCAAAATAACAGCGGAAATCGAGATAACAAAACATATGTTTTGTGTCCTACGTTGCAGACGAGGACGTGTATCGGCATTTTGAAAAGCATAATTATGTTCTTTCATTCATTCATTGCCATGGAATATGCGTTTACATTGTTTTTTTGCTGTTAATAGCTCGATTAATGTGGCTGGCGATCATCTTGCCGGCGGAAGTTTCACGGAAAAGGAATTAAATTAAAGACTTTTCCTAAAATTACGTTATCAGTCTCTGTGGTGTAGTGGTGAGGTGTAGTCGCGTCGAGCCGATGGTGCCGGGTTCAAATCCTACCGAACTCTTTTTTTTCCTTCTTTCTTTTTTTTTCTGTTTTTTTTGTGTTGTTGTTTTCTATAACTATATAGCTAAGTAACTGTTACTTAATAAAGTGCAATAAACAGCAAGAAAACTATCATGTTTCCAGAGAAAAGATAGTACACCCTATATTAAATATATGGATAAACAATCTGAATTGCTATCATTTCCTACAATTTACTGTGGGAAAACCAGAGTTGATAACCACTTGATCATTTTTTAAACAACGTTCCCACGAGTTCTTTATATAGACTGATAGTAATTATTCTAGTACTTTCCAACGTGTAAATAGGACATTCAATGTCATTTTCGATATACTTTTATGTTTCACTGCCTAACTAATGCCAGTATCAACAGAATGTGCCGCAGAATTACTATCTTTTAGATATCCTCGTAGTACGCATGGAGTACTGACACTCCTCTGATAATCCTTGCATTTTGCAAAATTTGGGTCCTGGCAAAAAAATGAATGAGCTAAGTTTTAAAATAATGCTTGATCACCGCTGTTGCTGAATGCTGCAGCCATGGCCTCACTTAGCAGGAGGGAGACTGGACTTGATGTCTAGACACAAATGCTTTGCTACATACCTGAACTACATCCTCGTGTTTGTGACCAACCATAAGGAACGACAAATGAACATATACAAAGATGTAATTAATAGTAATATTAATATCAAAGTGAATTAATAGTAATAAAATTATTCATTAGGGAGTTTTAACAACACAACCTGATAACCGTAAATAAACCTGAAAAAAAAATCAACTGACCCCGCATTCGTTGTTTGATAATGTCTTACCTCCTTGAATATTCCTTTTTCAACCAGAAGAGCACAAAAACCTAAAATATGTTTTTGCACTCACTGTAGCAGTTGTCCATCTGAAGGAACAGGTAGGGGGGCAGCTGTCCTTCCTAAAACATATACGAAGTACCTTAAGTATTGAGAGTGCTAAGAGTGTTGATTAAGTTATTGTTCCTCGTTAGAATGATGAAACGACTACAAATCGTCAAAAGGCTTAGGAAAATAAAATTAATTCAGCAATTTCCATGAATATACGCAGCAGCACATTTAAAGTGAGATTTGAGTCATGGGGCCATCTCATGAGGTCGATGAAGCTGAAGACACGTTCATTTCCATGAGAAATGGCATCAGTGACATGGGTTCGAAGGAAGTGGTATGTTTCGTCCTATAAAGAGAGAGCATAATCTTCTTACGTGATTTTAACCTCTATTTTTAAACTGATGCCCTCTCTTTGCATTACAGTAGTAATTTGAAAGAAACTTATTATATAATTAGAAATGGTCTGAC